CGGGTCTCGAACCCGCAGGCTCAGGCCATCCACTCACCTCGGCCTCCCAAAGGCGCGGGATGACAGGCTGAGCCCCCGAGCCCGGCTCTCTTTCTCTTTCTAAAAGTCACTGTGGACCCTAATTCCTGACTTTCGACACCCCCCCCATGGACACCCCTCACATTTCCTGCCCCCTCACCCACCCGGGTCCAGCGAGGCCCAGGGCAGTGACTCTGCCCCGCGGACCCTCCCGCAGCCCCGGCCCGACCGGCGCAGGCACCTGGGTGGGTGTGAGCGGGGATGTGCCAGGTCCAGTTCCTGCTGGGGCCGAAGTGATCCCGGGAGAAGACGGACACGCTGTAGGCGGGGCCCGAGAGGTAGAGCTTGCGCCCCAGGCGCAGGGTCCTGGTGGCCTGTTCCTTACACGGGCAGGACAGCATGCTCAGCTGCACATGGTAGCTCACCTGCCCTCCAGGGGCCGGCCCGCGGCAGCCTTCCAGGAGCTCGTGCTGGCTGGGCTGTGGCGGGAGAGACAGCTCGTGGGCGCCGGCCACGCCCGCCCTCCCGTGGCTGGCTCCAGGACCCAGCCCGTGAAGACCGCCTTGGCCAGGGGCCGCCTTCCACGACGCACGCCCCAAGTGCCCCAAATAGCAAGCCTCAGTGCTGGCAAGGCTGCTGCGAAATGGGCACTCTCCAGGCGCGGTGGCTCACACCCGTCGTCCCAGCACTTTGGGAGGCCGAGGCGAGAGGATGGCCTGGGCCCAGGGGTTCGAGACCAGCCTGGACCACTTGGCGAGACCTCGTCTCCACCATAAATCCAAAAATTAGCGGGGCATGGTGACACAGGCCTGTGCTTCCATCTACTTGGGAGGCTGAGGTGGAAGGATCACTGAGCCCAGAAGTTGGAGGCTGTGGTGGCCGTGAGCATGTCCCTGCACGGCAGCCTGGGCGACAAGGGGAGACCGACTCAAGGAAAATAGTCACTCACAGCCCGTTGCAGGGGGCACGCTGGCAAAACCCACTGAGATCTGGGGGAAACCCAGGGGCCACAAGCCTAGAAACTTTCCCTGCGGAAAAGGGCATTTGAGCGACAGGAAACAGAATGCCGAGGAGTTTTGCCGCCATGGTAGAGCAGTGGGCGTATCGTGACGTGTCCCCATTAGCGACACGGCTGAGGCAGCTGCAGCGAAGCCAGCGGGGGAAATATTTGTCCGTTTTGTCCCGCAGAGACGTTCCCTCTCCGCCTCGGTTGCCATCTCCGTAAAATGGGGCTGATTAGACGGCACTCATTGGGCAAGCCCCCCGTCTGGGTGAACGCAGTCACCATGGCCTCCGTCCTGGCCTCTGGCTTCGTCCAGTCCCCTGACAATCTGCTCCCCACACAGGAGCTGAAGGGGCCTTTGAACACCTGAGTCTCGCCACGGCCCTCTCCTGCGCACACACACTCCATGGCTCCCAGCTCCCTTCGGAGTTGTATTTTGCTTTTGTTCTGTCGGAGTCGGGGTCTCAGTCTGTTGCCCAGACTGGAGTACAGTGGCACGCTCACGGCCACCACAGCCTCAGCCTCCTGGGCTCAAGTGATCCTCCTGCCTCAGCCTCCAGAGTAGCTAGGACAACAGGTGTGCTCCACTATGCCCAGTTAAGTTTTTTTTTCGTTTTTGGGGGTTTTTTTAGAGTTGGAGTCTTACTTTGTCAACCAGGCTGGAGCGCAGGGGCACGCTCATGGCCACCGCAGCCGTGACATGCTGGGCTCAGGTGATTCTTCTGCCTCAGCCTTCCAAGTAGCTGGAACCACGGGTGTACACCACCACACCGAGCTAGTTTCTTTTTATTGTAGAGACGAGGTCTCGCCAAGTTGCCCAGGCTGGTCTCAAACTCCTGGGCTCAGGCAATCCTCTCACATCCGCCTCCCCAAGTGCTGGGATGACAGGCGTGACCATCACCCCGGCTAATTTTTTTGTAACTGTATTAAGATGAGGTCTCGCTATGCTGTCCAGGCTGCTCTCGAACTCCTGGGCTCAAGCGATCCTCCCCGCCCCAGCCTCCCAAAGTGCCAAGATGCCAGGCAGGATTCACCCGCGCCGGCCTCGTCAGAGTCACGTCCACGCTCTGCCCCCACAGGCCCGCCCCCCAGTCACCCCCGGCCCTGAGGCCCCGTTACCTGCCCGTGCAGCGTCAGCAGCCGCCTCCCGTCCAACCCGGGCTGCTCCACCAGGACCTCGGGCGGAGGAGGGGTTTCTGCGACAGGAGAGAAAGCGCGATGCCAGGATCCGCCAGGGGGCACCAGGAAGCTTGCCCGTCGCCCGACAGGAAGGGGGCAGGCGGCAGGGAAGGCCACCAGCCCCGCCTCCCCAGCCTCACAGCAGCGGCCGCCCACCCTCGCCTGGGCCCTCTGCGACCTCCCGGGTCAAGCAGTCCTCCGGCCTCGGCCCCCCACAGCATGGAGTGAGCCACCGCGCCCGGCTGGCCCACGTTTCTTCTGGGATGCCAACGTGTTTCTGACGCGGTGCTGAGCCCCCGCACTCGTCACCCGACGTCCAAGCCTGGGGGCGTCCGCCCGTGTGATGCCCGGCGGCAGACAGCTGTGTCCTAGAGACACAGCCAGCCTCACCCGGCCCAGCAAGGCCCAGACACGAGGATGGGGGCCGCTGTGAGGTCTGAGAACTCACGTCTCCTGCTGCCTTGTCTCTGACACCTACTGCCTTGTTTCTAAGTCTTGCTGGTTCATTTCTAACACCCACAGCCTTGTGTCTAACACCCGCTGCCTTGTTTCTAATACTTGAGACCTTACTTCTAACATGCACGGCCTTATGTCTGACATCTGCTGCCTTTCTAACCCCCGCAGCCTTGTTCCTAACACCCAATAGCTTGTTTCTAATACTTGCTGTCTTATTTCTCACGTGTTCTGCCTTATGTCTAACACCCACTGCCTTGTTTCTTTTTTTTTGAGTCAGAATCTCACTCCATTGCCGAGGCTGGAGGGCGGTGGCAGCCTTGACCTGCTGGGCTCCGGCGATCCTTCCACCTCAGCCTTCCAAGTTGCTGGAACTACAGGCACGCGCTACCATGCCCGGCTAATTTTTTAATCCACTGTAGAGATGAGGTTTCGCCAAGTTGCCTGGGCTGGTCTCGAACCCACAGGCTCAGGCAATCCACTCGCCTCGGCCTCCCAAAGTGCTGGGATTATCGGCTGAGCCACCAAACCCGGCCACCACCAGCTTGTTTCTGACACCTGCTGCTTTGTGTCTAACGTTTGCTGCCTTGTTTCTAAATCTTGCTGCCTTTTTTCTTTTTTTTTTTTTTTACATCAAAAGTGTGTGTATTTGCAACAGTTCCTCTTTTTGCCTTGCTGCCTTTTCTCTAACACCTGCTTTTTTTTTGAGTCGGAGTCTCACTCCACCGCCCATACCGGAGTGCAGCGGCCGCTCCCGGCCACCGCAGCCTCGACCTGCTGGGCTCCGGCGATCCTTCCACCTCAGCCTTCCGAGTAGCCGGAATTACAGGCGCACACTACCACGCCCGGCTGATTTTTGATTTATTGTAGAGATGAGGTCTCGCCAAGTTGCCCAGGCGGATCTCGAACCCGCGGGCTCAGGCCATCCACTCACCTCAGCCTCCCAAAGGCGCGGGATGACAGGCTGAGCCACCGAGCCCGGCTCACCTGCTTTTTTAATGTCTAACACCTGTCACCTTGTTTCTACCATCCACTGCCTTGTTTTTTTTTTTTAAGTCAGAGTCTCACTCTGCGACCCAGGTTGGAGTGCAGTGGCACACGCACAGCCACTGCAGCTGTGACCTTCTGGGCTCTGGCAATCCTTCTCCCTCAGCCTTCCAAGTAGCTGGAACTACGGGTGCACGCCCATAGTTTATGTATTTATTTTTTCACTCTCGTCAAGTTGCCCAGGCTGGTCTCAAACCCCTAGGTTCAGGCAATCCTCTCGCCTCCGTCTCCCAGAGTGCTGGGATTCCAGGCAGGAGCCACCACGCCGGCCCGCTGCCTTGCTTCTAACACCCGCTGCTTTATGTCTGACACTCATCGCCTTGTTTCTAGTGCCCGCTGGCTTGCTTCTAACACCCAGGTCGAACACCACTGCCTTGTTTCTATCAAGCGGAGCACCTGCCATCTTGTTGCTGACACGTGCCCAGGGCTCTCACCTGGGGGAACACACACAGAGCTGCTCCAGCTGCTCCAGGGACCTTCCGGGGGCCCCTGCTGGAGCTGCCGCCGCCGGAGCTGGAACTCCTGGGCCACGTCCGTCTCCAGGGGGCAAACACAGGACTCTGAGGCGAGGTGGGGCGCACATCAGGCCGCAGGAATCGCTCGAGGCTTGGTGCGGCTCCTGCAGCCATCGTGCATGTATTGAGCGCCAACGGTGTGCAGAGCCGGGTGCTGGGCCCTGGGGTCGGTGGCAGGAACCCCGTCTTCTTGGGGCCTCCCGCTTCTGCCCCTGCCCTGGGTCCGCATCCCGGCCTTGCCGTTCCTTGGGTCGTGACCTGGTCGAGAGCTTCTCCCTCCTGCCACCCCACCCCGGCCTTGATTTGTTTCCTCGCCCGTGAAACAGAAACGATTCCACACTGAACTACAGAGGAGGGCGAGAAGTCCCCCAAGAACGGAGCTCTGGGCTTGGCGCACAGTAGGCACTCAATTCATGCTCACTTGCTGTGGCTGTTGTTATTATTACTCTTATGATCCTCACCAGTTTCATTCTGAGGTCCGCAGTTGCCCTGGAATGGGAATACAGATTTGTGCTGAAAAATATGGGTCGTTGTAAAACATTCAAAATAGGCCACGGCTTTGTTAAGCGCTGGTGTGTCCAGGTGGCTGTCTGAGCCACGGCCACCACTTTTCCTGGCCTTGGCCCCTCCCTTACCTTGCGGGGCGAACCTCCCCCCATTTACTCTCTAAATAAACTGTATTTTCTCATCTAAAATAAATAAGTAGATAGGATGTTCAAAGTCACCCTACGAAATGCAACGTGGGACCTTGCGCTGTCCCCAGAAGCCAAATGAGGACATCAGACGGACAGCACGCAAATCACGCCTGGCGTGCCTGCCAGGCGTCAAGGCCAGGGTGTGGGGAAGCGGTGGCTGGGAGCCACTCTACGCTGCCACTCCCCTGAAAAATCCGAGCTTATTCTGAGAGAAACAGTTACGTTTAAAAAAATTATTTTAGGGAGCAAAATGGTGGCTTCAAAACCTGCCTGTGGTGCTGGACCCAGCCCGCCCCGTGACCTGAGCACTTTTCTCAACGTCCCGAGCCTCAGCTTCCTCATCTGCAAAGGAAGCCGAGAGGGTCTGTGGCAGAGTGTGCTCAGGGGCTTGCAAACACAACATAACAGAGGCGGGGCATGGTGGCTCATGCCTGTCATCCCGGCACTTTGGGCGGCTGGGGCAGGAGGATCGCTTGAGCCCAGGAGTTCAAGACCAGGCTGGACAACGTAGCGAGACCCCCATCTCCACAATAAAGCAAAAACGAGCCAGGTGTGGTGGTGCCTGTAATCCCAGCCAGCTGGGAGGCTGAGGTGGGAAGATCGTCGGAGCCCAGGAGGCTGAGGCTGCCCCTCCAGAGATGTCCCTTCCCACCAGGGGTCCCATGTCACCGCCCCAACTGGTTTCATGCCCCTTTACCTGACGGGAAAACGGAGGTTCAGGGGGAGGCGCAGTGCTTGGAGGGAAGCCCTGTTTTGCCCTCAGACGTTCCCAGTCTGAGGGAGGAGGTGACCGGCCCCAGTTCAGAGGCTGCAGAGCTAGCTCTGTCTCACCAAAGCTGGGGACCCCTGGGGACTCGGTCAGGCCTGAAGCCTCCTACAGGCCCAGATTTGCCCTGGCAGGGGGAGGGGAGTGACAACAAAAAAGTAGCTAAAGAATGAATGAGCCGGGCTCGGTGGCTCAGCCTGTCATCCCAGCACTTTGGGAGGCCGAGGTGAGTGGATTGCCTGAGCCCGCGGGTTCAAGACCAGCCGGGGCAACTTGGCGAGACCTCATCTCTACAATAAGTCAAAAAATTAGCCGGGCGTGGTAGCGCGCGCCTGTAATTCTGACTACTTGGAAGGCTGAGGTGGAAGGATCGCCGGAACCCGGCAGGTCGAGGCTGCGGTGGCCGTGAGCAGCCACCACGCTCCAGCCTGGGCGACAGAGTGAGACTTCCAAAACAAAAGAACAACTGAACAAATGAATGGAAGGGCAGCCTCCTGGAGGAGGCGGCCCTTGGGCTGGGAGGATCTGCCCATGCCCTGGGGGAGAGGGGCCGCGGGGGGCAGGGCAGGAGCTGAACGGCCTGGGCGGAGGCAAGGAGGCCAGAAGCCAAGGCTGCGGGCAAAGGACGACGGCACCAGGGAGATCAGAGGAAGCACGGGGCGCGAAGGGGCTGGGACTAGGGTGCCCTCCCGAGGGCACTGGGGAGCCACTGCGGGTGTGCGAGCAGGGGAGGCGCGGTCAGGTCTGAGGGCCAGGCGGACCTCGGGGGCTGGACTGGCGACGGGGCGGGGAGGACCGATGCAGAGGGTGAGTGAGGCTGGTTTGGGGGGCAAGGGTCCTGGAGACGCACTCACCAACACCCACGGGCCGCCGGGCACCCGGTATCGGAACTGCACCTCTGCTCCCTCCTGGTGGGCCGGGGGTTCCCACGCCATTCGCAGCTGCCCTGCGGACCTGGACACCTTGATGGCCTCTGGGGGAGGGTGGTACTTCACTGGAGGCAGAGGCGGGATGGGATCAGACCGCTGGTGTGTGCATTGGCGGGTCCCGAAAATTCTGGAAAGCCAGGCCATATCCTGCCCAGCTCAGGGGGGCCCCAGGTATGAGTTAGGGACAACTTTGCAGGTCCCAGCTAAGCCCGGTGTTCTGTGGTTCAAAGAGTTAAGACAATTTTTAAAAATGAAAAAAAAAAAAGCTGGACGCGGTGGCTCATGCCTGTCACCGCAGCACTTTGGGAGGCCAAGGCAAGAGAATTGCCTGAGCCCAGGGGTACGAGACTAGCCTGGGCCACTTGGTGAGACCACATCTCCACAATAAATAAAAAAATTAGCCAGGTGGCGTGGTGGCATGAGCCTATAGTTCCAGCCACTTGGAAGGCTGGGGCGGAAGGATCGCCGGAGCCCAGCAGGTAGAAGCTGCGGTGGCCGTGAGTGTACCACTGCACTCGTCTGGGGGACAAAGTGAGACTCCGAATCAAAAAGGAAAAAAAAGAAAGAAAAGAAAAGAAAGGAAAAAGGCCAAGTGCACTGGCTCTCCCCTGTCATCCCAGCACTTGGGAGGCCGAGGTGGGAGAATCCCCTAAGGCCAGGAGTTTGAGACCAGGCTGGGCAACACAGCAAGACCTCGTCTCTATAATAAATGGAGAATTTAGGGCAACCCCTTGGGTCCTCTCCCCCTGTGGGAATTTTTCTGTCATCTCAATAAATCCTGCTTTAAAAAGAAGGGAAACTAGCCAGGTGTGGGGGCGCACGCCTGTAGTCCCAGCCACTCAGAGGCTGAGGTGGGAGGGTGGCCTGGGTCCCAGAAGCCAAGGCTGCCACGAGCTGCCAGCGTGCCGCTGCCCTCCAGCCGGGACCACGGAGTGAGACCCCGACCCAAGAAGAAAGCAAGTCAGTGAACACCCAAGCAAATAAAAGCCCCACAGGGTCTTGGCTGTGGAGTGGCTGTCAGGGAGAGGAGGGGCCCTGGCCAGGCTGCGTGTCCCAGCCCCTGTCGGACGGGCCGACAGCTGGCAGTCTCGAGCCCCTTTCCAGGGGGCCTGGACCCACCCCCCAGCTCCAGGCCTCGGGCCTGAGGCCTCTCTGGGCAGGGAAGGGACCGGAGAGAGGACGGAGCACCAACCCACGCTGTGGAGCACCACGGTCACCGCGGGTGACCTCTCCGTCTGGTTCGCGGCCCGGGACTCCACCCAAAGGGTGACCGGCTTGAGCACGGACACCCCATCCTGGTCAGAGAACTGCAGTCTGGTGGCCGAGTCTGCGGTGAAGTAGCAGCATCTCCCAGCACTGAGGCTGCGGGGAGGAGGCGTCGGTTCCGAGTCTGGGGTCCTGGTGGGCCCCAGGCGCCGCAGCAGACGCTGCCCGTCGCACAGGGCAGGCTTCTCTACCCCGCTGGCACGCCCCCTCCACTGGGGATGGCCTGGGGCGACGCCAGGGACCGAGCGGGGGACCCTCGAAGGCCCCGCACAGGCCGGCCCGGAGGGGAGGAGGAGGCTGACGACGGGCGGGGGGCGAGTCGGTGGAGGGGCGCGGACCGGAGCCCACCCGCCTTCTCCGAGGCGCGACGGGGGCCCTGAAGGGTCGCGGCCGGCCGAGGCACGTGTCCGGGCCGGGCGGGCAGGAGCGGGGCAGGGGACGGGGACCCTCACCAGCACCACAGGAGGTGGCGTGCCCCGGCCGGGGGCCCCTCGTGCTGCCACA